GCGAGACAGAGTATGCGGTCTGAAGAATGGGCGATACAGAGTATGTGGTCTGAAGAATGGGCGATACAGAGTATGTGGTCTGAGTAATAGGCGAGACAGAGTATGTGGTCTGAATAATGGGCGATACAGAGTATGTGGTCTGAATAATGGGCGATACAGAGCATGTGGTCTGAATAATAGGCGATACAGAGTATGTGGTCTGAATAATGGGCGATACAGAGTATGTGGGCTGAATAATGGGCGATACAATGTGGTCTGAATAATAGGCAATACAGAGTATGTAGAATTACCCCCCCCCCCAGTTCAAATGTTAACTAAAAATAAAGGAAGAAAAACAAAGTTTTGTATCTCCCGTCAAAAAAAAACAAGAACACCCTCTTTTCGTTGCACAGGAACCGACAGTTCGACCCTAAGAGGTCCCGCCCCTTGTTCCCCACGTATCTACTGCGAGTTAAAAACATGATACTTTTAAATCAGGGGTCGTTCGCAAACTACGTCACGCTAAAAATGACCTTTTTAGACCCCCCCTCCCCCGTCACAAAATGTCTCAAATTTTTTACCCCTACCCCCCCCCTCCCAAGATTCCCGTCACACCTAAAAAAATCAAAACATACACAAAATGTGTATAACTAAACTAAGATTCTATTGTATTCATTAACATTATTCTACATCTTATTCCATTAAGGGAAAATTAGAAAACTGTGACGCGAATCAACGAAGACATCCACAAGACGAGTGTAAAATGGCCACAACAGTTTTTGCGCCATTTTTCGATATGCACAGAAGGTGTGCACGACTGAGGTTGACGGTACCTATAATACCAGAGGCAATTTCAATCTCAAATTAATGGTTTTAAAATTAATTGAATAAAGATTTTTCAAAATTAGACAATTTTAGATTTTTAAAAAAAAATCTTGGCGTCACAATTTTTACCCCCCCCCTCCCTTTTTTTCCCCGTCACAAAGTGTCACAAATTATCGACCCCCCACCCCCGAACCCCTGAGCGTGACGTAATTTACGAATGACTCCCTTAGAGTTTTTCTTCAGATACTAAGGAAGTTCAAAGGGAGAAAACAGTAGGCCCTATACGAGAGTTACCCCCCTTTAACAACGTTAAAACTTGTGGTTCGCCAATGTGTTCAAGTGTTGGTCACTTTTAGAGTCGCCACCATGGTACATGGATAACATTTTAAAGACATTTCAAATAGTTTCTTTTTAATTTTCCACATCGCAAATTTGGGCTCCTTAATCATCCGAGTCCCCCCACCCCCCACCCCCTTTTTTTTTCAGACGCAGGGGTTTCAGGGCCCACGCAGGGGTTTCAGGGACCACGCACTGCTCTGTGAGTGAGTGCAAGCAACCACGCTAGGCGTGCACAATAGATAGACCAGCAGCTGCACTAAATAGGGATTCTTTAAGACAATGTGCAACGTTATTAATAAATGATTGGTTTGACTGAAATCTATGTTTCAATATCATCAGTCGAGGAGAGATTTTTAAAAAAATGAGTTGTGCACGATTTTTAAAATTTTTAACAAATTTCCATTCTCAAGAAGCACATCTCAAAATTGAGGAAAATTTTAGATCAGTGTTGACCAACCTTTCTTTCTACGTGGGTCAAAAAATGTTTTTCAGGCGAAGCCGAGGGCCGCAAATGTCATATCAAAAGAATTATTTTTTAGGGTACTTTTTAGTAAATTATTTCCAATTATTACTACTTCTTACCTTATTCATAAAGATTCATATACCCAAAAGCATTATCGGCTTTAGGAAAATGAATAAAGAGAATAAAAAACAGTAGCACTTTTAATAATGTATTTTGGTTTAAATTTTACTTGCAATTTTCTTAATTTGAAGAAGTTATCAGCAGCGACTGCCCTCATTGGATTTTCTAAATGTTCACCAGTCAACAAGTACGGTATATTTCATTACAGCACCTAAACCGGCTCGTTGTGCCCAGTACAGAAGGCATCAATTTGCCCATGCCTTGTCAGGATAAGAGCAGAGATCATTTTTACGGTTTGGAAATGTTGATGAAATAGAACCTCGTCGTGGACTAGGGTAAGAGATGCGTTCACAATACCGGAAGTAGTGGCTGTTAAAGACGAGGCATGCTCCCGTGTCGTCCAACACCATATTGTGTTTTAGTGCCAGGACGATGGACGACTTCCTGGCCAAAGTAGCACTGAGACACTCGCACAGAGCAGACCAGGGCAGTAAACCCTTATATGTGTCCTGGATCCCTTAAGACGTGACATTAAGACAACAGATCTCGTACCTTAAGTTCATTCAGATAAGTCTACAGTAAAAAGTCAATGTAATGATTTTTCTTACAAATCTATTGATTCAGAAACGTCTAGATGAAATCCTTGCTCCAGCGAGATCAAATTTGTCTGGGTCGGCTTCACGCACATAAGAGAAAGGTCCCCTTTCCCTGATTCTATTTACAACACTATCATCCCCTCATCCTAATTGGAAACAACCCAGTTAACACTTCACTTAAAATATCGATCACATGCACCATCACTCGCACCACATATACCATAAACACTATGTTCCACATATGCCCCAAACACTATGTACCACATATGCCCCAAACACTATGTACCACATATGCCCCAAACACTATGTACCACATATACCACAAACACTATGTAATAATAATAATAATAATAAAGTTCATTTCAAAAACACGCTTCATCCCCAAAGGCTCGAAGCGCGGTACAAAGTCAACAAAAAACATATCTATAATTTACCACATTTAAAACAAACGCAACACTACAAAAACTAATTACAAGCATACAATGGCAAAGTCTTTCTAGCCATTTCAACCCGGAGCAACACAGCAACACATGGAAAATAAGGTACCACATATACCACAAACACTATGTACCACATATGCCCAAAACACTATGTACCACATATACCACAAACACTATGTACCACATATGCCCAAAACACTATGTACCACATATACCACAAACACTATGTACCACATATACCACAAACACTGTGTACCACACATACCACAAACACTATGTACCACATATACCACAAACAATGTGTACCACACATACCACAAACACTGTGTACCACACATACCACAAACACTGTGTACCACACATACCAAAAACACTATGTACCACACATACCACAAACACTGTAATCAGGAAACACCAACCAGCCATCAATATATTATTATTTAATGGCTCATTTTATTGCAACAGAAACCTATGTACAAGAATGCACCATCATTTCAACAACCAGAGAATAGAACATTGGTATTGACCCAATCTAATTTAATTCAGGATATCTACAATACAGATCCCCCCCCCCCCCCCCCCCAGTAAAAGCAGAAAATACAGATCAACTGGGAGGGGGGTGAGTTTTGGGGAGGGGTGTTAAGAACATAAGGAAAAAAATCAGAGACTCATGTTCTGATAGGATACATATAAACTCTTACAAAAAGACAGGGACTGCCAGGAGCTACAAGGAGAGGCAACTCAGACAAAATTAGGTTGCTAGAGATACTGTGAGGTTCTAGTCTTGTAGTCTTACAACTGTTGGATCTATTACTATTATATTCCTATTTCAGTAGGGGACAGAATCAACAATTAATAACTTGATGTCATCAAATGAAATTTTAGGATTACTATTTAAATTAAATTTAAAAAAAAATAGGTTTAGTCTTTCATTGTGTAACAAAATATTTAAATTTTTGATTTTGAAAACAGCAAATCCATTAGGCCTATATTATTTTTTAATAAAGAAAATAAATGATAATTATTATTTGTTATTTTCAAAAAACCTCACCATTTTTATAAGATCTCCAGACATCCCTTAAAAAATCATTCTCTTTAATGGACTAGACATAAATCATAAAAAAGCCAAGTATAGATATGTTTGCAAGTAAGCTGTAAACTTCCTGCCAGCAAATGTAGCAAGTAAGCTGTAAACTTCCTGCCAGCAAATGTAGCAAGTAAGCTGTAAACTTCCTGCCAGCAAATGTAGCAAGTAAGCTGTAAACTTCCTGCCAGCAAATGCAGCAAGTAAGCTATTTAGGCATGTTTAAAAAAATATATTTACTTTTAGATAGAAAAAAATTTAATAAACCAGACAATTGAATTAAAATTTGACCTACAAAAGGCTGTTGGTCCTGTTTCCTTCTGTCCACTTTGAATTGTCTTTTATGAAGATCTCTATTTGAAAAATACCATCAGTTGAGTCTTGGCAACAACTTAAGGTTTACATGTGCTAAAAATAGATATTTATTTCAAAAACTCTGTCAATAAAACAACTTTTCCAATGTTTTATCATTAAAACAGAACTGCCCAGCTTGAGGTGCATCAACCTAATCCAGATTTTTCAATTAATTGTTGCTCTCTGTTTCAACATGAATTGGTAATAAAATTTGTTTTGACCTCAGCTTAATTGGTGGGGAAGATTTAACAATGTGGGGAAAATGTTCATGGACTTTGTAACAAGGGAAGGGTTGGTAACAAGGAAAGGGTTGGTAACAAGGAAAGGGTTGGTAACAAGGAAAGGGTTGGTGCCGCGTTCAGTGAACATGAAGCATGCAAACCCAAAGGGAAAGCACCCTGACCAATATCCTTAGCGCACACTGACCATGATAAACGTAAGGATAAAAGTATCTGGACATTTCAGGGATAAAGACATCAAAAATAAAATAGGTGTCAAATAAATGCTACACAGAAGGAAATGTAAGATCAGATCTGGACAAAGAAAATATAAGAGTGAACAACTCTGGATAAACATTGATGGCTAGTGACAAAAGCATGTCATTTATCATGTCACTATCAAATATTTATGAGTTGCTTGCCACTGAGTTGAAGGGTTATTAAAATTACTTGTACATCTTGAATTAAATTCAAGGCATTTCAATGTCAAACGCTTGAATCTCAGAAGATGAACAACCCCCATATTCTTACTTTCAAGTTTAGAGAAAAAACGGTTGGTCTAAAATTCTATTATAAAAAGTAGTGAGAGCTTTTTTCTTCTTTTTTTTTTACCAAAACCCTAACAGTATGTCTTTAAAATGTTTTTTTTTGGAACAATAATTGTATAATATTTACTTTCATTTTATTTGTGTTTTAAATATATAATAATGATTGAGATAATTTTAAAAAAAAGTAAAAGATTATTATTTAAAAATAAGCTCTGCCCATAAATCCCAAGATGCCTCAAGCTAAAAATAACTTACAAGTCAAGAATAAAGCTTGTGTAGACAAGTTACAAGTGGCAAGACATAGAGTACAGAATACCGAACCATCCTCATTTGTCTAGCATGGGTAAAAAATAATTTATTTTATACAATATTTCATGCTTTTATTTTATAGAATCATAAAGATATATAGATTTGTGTAAATATTCAATTCTCTAAAAAAATTATCAAATATCCACAGTAAAAAACAAAATCTAGTACTTTCAAGCTGCAACGACAAATCACAATCAAATATTTGCATGCCGTATGTATTATGTACCTAAAGCAACAAATTCAAAGTAAATGAAAATCTTTTCAAATATCCACACATATTAATAAAGTTATAATATTCACATATTGTACATAGCAATCTGACAGTGACTTTTACAACAACAAAAAAAATCAACCTTTGAGTAAATTTAAATTAAAAAAGAAGAAAACGAGTTTAGGTAGAAGTGGTAGGACCTTGTGGTTGAACTGCATTTTGAAATGAATACACACAACCTCACATCTTGCCAACAAGATCCCCAAAGACATGTGCTGGTAAGTTTTACTTAAGAATGGAAGCTGTCTTCCTTTAACAGCACAATGGTGTACTTTGAGCAGAGCCATTCAAGAGGTGATCATTACGTGAGACCTCAATCCTGGTCGGCCCTATGTTCAATATGTAAAAGGATTGAACAAGAACAATAATCAATCAATGGGGTTCCAGTTGCTGCTGCACTTGGACAAATCCCTACAGGTCTGTTACCCCAAATATTTGAGCAGCACTGCTTTAGACAAAAGTCATTTGATATTCAGTGTAATAAAACACCAAAGAATTAACAGAGAAATCACTGGAATCAACAAAATAAGGAAATAACTTACCAATTAATTAAATAACAAAATAAGGGTATAACTTAACAAATAATTAAATAACAAAATTTATCAAAAGAGAAAGAGACTAAGGAGAACCTACATTTACAAATATGTATGATATGAATCAAAGTAATTAGACATGTTTGTGTTGACCCTTTGATACAGTCAAAGTAAATCAGCTTATGTTTGTTTTGCCCCTTTGATACCAAACATCCTGTGGGAGAAAACTAGTGGAGCTTTGAATACTCAGCCACTGTTTATAAACATGGAGGCTGGCACACCCAAATGTATGACATTGAGTACTAGCGCACCCAAATGTTTGACGCTGACGTTGGTGCACCCAAATGTTTGACATTGAGTACTAGCGCACCCAAATGTTTGACTCTGACGTTGGTGCACCCAAATGTTTGACGCTGACGTTGGTGCACCCAAATGTTTGACATTGAGTACTAGCGCACCCAAATGTTTGACATTGAGTACTAGCGCACCCAAATGTTTGACGCTGACGTTGGTGCACCCAAATGTTTGACATAATTGTTTTTTAAATTAATTTTTGAAACTTTAATGTATCCGATGAACCATTTCATTCAGATTATCATTATGGGCCGCCATTGTGAGTTTTGCAGACCATCATTTTAGGTTGCCCGATTGAGTTTCTCTTCCTCACAGACACATTCTGGTCTTGCTATGAGGCATACTAAACAGAAGAAAGGGAATTTCATTTAAGAATCTTTTACTTGGTTGAAATAATAGGTAAAGAAGAAGGTTGGATGGGGTGAAATTATGAACATTGAGAAAAAATTAGTAATCGAAACATAAGTCTGAACTACAGAAATGTGTTAGACTATTAATAATAGTAGTGCCCCTGGTAATGATGTCCACAGCAATCCAGGTCTGTGAAATGCTTTTGACAATCAATAGCAGAACTTTCTGTAGCAGCCCTGGTAATGATGTCCACAGCCAACCAGGTCTGTGAAATGCTTTTGACAATCAATAACAGAACTTTCTGTAGCAGCCGACATAGGTTAACAAAGGAAGAAACTGCCTCAAGTTTCATGTTTTAATGGCCAAAAATTTTAATAAGGTTTCTCTGGTTCATGCAAACAACTGTTGTTACATTTTCCCCACACATTTCATTCACGAAATGAACCTAGGAAAATTCTTGACCTAGATTTGCATGTTTAACAAGCTAACTCAGTGGCCAACATTATGGGTCAGAATTGACATATTTAATTTTGTTAAAGTTGCAGGCATTCTCAAATTATGAGCAAAAATGTTTAACTAGCTTGATGTGTTCTTTTAACAAAATTAACACAACTGAAGTAGTTAAAGGGATTAAAGAGAAAATAAAATCTATTTGAATACTGTCTTTAAATAGTTATCATCTGTGCATTGACAACATCCCTTTGCACCCTGCAATTGCTATCAGTTCTTATAGTAAGGGCATAGACACTTTGATTGTATCAAAAGGATAGTAAACAACAAAGGCTGGGTTGTTCAACCAGATTTGGATTTCTGATATTTGCTTTAAAAAAACTATCATGAGCAGTTACTTTTACCAGCAAGAAATTTAGGTGTCGTTTAATTTGCAAACAAATGTGGTCATGTATATAAAAAAAAATTGAATTTCATCCCACATACCCTAGTTCAAAGATAATTGGTAGAAATCTAGATTAATGGGCGCACTATAATCACACCAAAAACAGTCTAGATCAAAGCACGGACTTTGGTAACTGTATTATGTAAAAGTTACCAACCTTCAACGATGATTTTGTCATCTTAATACTGAGAGCAGAGACACAGCAACAAATGACAACGAAATCACAACGTTTCAGGTTTTTGCAGATCTATTGTGAGAATATCTCACGTATGTATGTGAAGGCTAATGCAAATCTGATCATCGTTTTTGAATTGGATTTCTATAACCCAATAAAAAATGAAAAGAACATGTCTACATCAATTATAAGGAAGATAAACAAGAAAAAGGACAAAAACATTTTGTCTGTAACAGAAGACAACAATCAACATCCATACATGAGCAGAGAATGTAGGCAAGAAACTAGCAGCACATGTCGTAGGAAGCACAATATCACAAGTAATGCTGTCATGTAGAACAATGCCTGGGGAAACTGGGGACACACACGGGGCTGATACCAGGCTAGAAGCACAAGAATCGATGGTTGGTTAGGCTTAACATAAAGAAGTAAATTAGGATAACTTGTAGGTTTGATTTCTTGTTTGCAGGTTTCTTGTCATCCAATGAAAGATCACCAGGACCAGTACAATCCATCTGATGATAGTGTTAATGCCTTCTAGTGTTTAGGCTGACAATGTTACAAGTAAATTCAAGCGTTATTTCATTCTTAAATCTGTCCAGCAATGATAAAGTCCATTGTTACACTCAAATTATCCAGCATTTGAAGACCAGCTGATTGTTACTTCTGGACCAAAAAATGGCCATTGATCAATATCCATTTTCTTTCAGAGACTCTTCATTCTTTTTTGAAGCCATTTTATACAGCCAAAAGTACATTCCTACTCTAGCCAGCTCCAAGTTTTATTGAGTCAATATTCTAAACATAATTGTACAATTAAAGCAATAGACATAACAAGTTTCATACAAACTTAGTTTCACGAAACTTATTATCCTTGATTTCAATGACACAAGACTAGTGTCTGCATTTTTCAAATAGTAAACCTTCACTCAGATTACAGACATTGTCCACTCAGATTACAGACATTGTTCACTCAGATTACAGACTCTGTCCACTCAGATTACAGACATTGTCCACTCTTTCCTAGATAAATCTATGTTCACCTTGACAGGGCAAATAAAACTTCCTTTCCTTAAAGAGGCAATGACAACTGAGCTGTCCTCTTATTAAGCAATCAGTATTTGTCCTGACATGTAAGATCAGGTGTACTGCCCCTGACCCTCTCTCTCTGAATCCACGTCTGCATGTTTCGATGACCGGGTGAGCCCGGGTCCTTCACCGCTGGCTGCAGCCGCTCCCAGGCGGATGGTCGGTGAAAACTGGTGAGGTCGGCACAAGCCCTAGAAATTGCATTTATGTGATCAAAATCTTCCATTCCGCCAACTGTATGTCGTCTACGTTTATGTATCTTTCTGTTCTCCTTATTGTCCTGCTTATCAGTAAGACTAGCAACACCCTCTCCCGCAAACGATGTCTCATCTCGACTCAGTCTTGCAAGGTTCATCTCTGTTTTTTCAGATTTTGAAATAGTTCTTTGCTCGGGCCGAAAGTTTTCTCTAGACTTGGGACTGGTGTCTAGTTTTTTGGGCTGTGTTAGAGTAACGGAGCCGGGCTCGGGGGGCTGAGCTGGCGGCTTGCTTAAAAAAGCCCTGAAGTCTGGCAACTGACATTTTTTCTGATTGGCCAGATTTGAATTTTCATACAAGACAGTGGTGACAGGGGATGCAGATGACGCTCTGCCACAGTCATGCCGCTCAAATCGAGATGCTATCCCTATTTTAGGATCAGATTTGGCTGACCTATGAAGGCTTGGGTCTCGAAAGGGTCTTTCAGAATCAAGAAGGGATGCCCCAGGGCGGGGCTGTTGGACGCTGCTCAAAATCCTGGCTTTGCCTGCTTCAGTCAACTTGGAATTGTCTTCCTTAGAATCTTCGTTTGAATTGCTTGAATTATTTAATGAATCCATTTTATCACTTTTACCAACTGCCCCGGTCAGCTTATACTTGGGGTTAAGTAAAATTTGCAGCTTCTGATCAAAGGTTGTGGTGATGCTGTTGAGCAAGTCTGAGCCATCTTCTGAATCAGACGAGGCCCAGGATGCGCGTTTGTCTTGTCTGTCTATCATGTCTATCAAAGAATCCAAAGAACCATGGCGTCTGCCAAAACTGTGTCGAATAGATGATGGCCGCTGGGAGGTCCTCTCGGGACCAACGGCCACATGTAACGTCCTCTGCTGATTTTCTTGGATTCTACGTTGGCTGGGACCTCGCATCATCACAGGCCTCCCAGCATCGTATCTTTGGTTCTTGGGCTGGGACAAAATGTCTTCATGAGACCCAACTCTGGGGATCTTGGCCGGCTGGGTGGGCAAACCCAATGGGGGTATCACCACGGGCGGAACATTCAGAGTGGTGGTCAGTGACACAACATTACTCCTCTTCATGTCCAGTTTGTCTTTTTTTTCACCACCCCCGGGGACGTTGTGATTGAAACGGCTCTCTTCGTAAGGGTACGTTTGCCCCAAATATGAGCTGGACACAAGGTCTGGCATACGTGAAGCACTGATACCTTTCCAGGCAAGCCAGTCCTCCACACTGTGATTCTCCTCCTGCTCCAGCTCCAGTTGTGTCCTCATGTGTTCTCTCTCAATCATTTCCTGCTCCCAACGGCGGCGCTCTCGCTCCTTCAACTGCTTCTGCTCAAATGTGTGAAGTAAAGCACTGACGTCATTTCCAATTCTCTTGAGAGTGTTATGGATGGCATCCCTGCTGAGGCTGGTGGGCAGGCCGTGGGAGATTTCTAGCTCGTCATTTTTATCCACCAGAGAATCATCGGAAAAATGCCTGGAGAAACTTGACGACGGACTCGTAGCATCGGCGTACTCAAAGTCCATGAAGTCTGGCTCGGAGTTTGCAATGGGTGCCGTGGCCAGATACCTATTCGCCGAGTTCGCAGACTTGCGCTCAAGAAATTCTTCAGAGGCGCTGCGTGAGGATGCAATGGAGGAGAGAGATTTGGTGCGGGAGGACGAGTGGAGGGTGTCATCGAGCGTGTATGTGGCCGAGCTGGTGGTGGTCATACTGCAGCTGTCAATCATATCCAGGGATTCAGTGCTCTTGCCTTGTTGACTCCGGAGCTTTTTGCTGGCTGCTCCAACAATGGATGAAATGATTTGTTTGGCACTGATAGCAGAGTCAGCCTCCTCTGTGAATACATTAAAACTAAACTGTCAGCTCACAAAGGACCAATATATATATGTGTGTTATATTGTGCAGAACATGTTGTAGATAACTTAGAGATCAGATATATGTTGTTCTTTTTGCATTTGTCTCTATTTTGAAAGTTCAAATCACAAACAATTTTGAGAGATTTGACTAAAATAATACATTAAATGAAAGCAAACACATATAAATTTAAATGTATAGCTTAAGGTTTAAATAAAGTGCACTCTTTAAAATAGGAAGTGTGTGCAGAGCTAACACAGGGGAAAGCGACAGTGCACTTACCATCATCATCCTTCAGAAGTGACTGTCCATCTTCCACGCTGACTGTCTCCACTGTTGTCTCCATGGGTATATAGTTGTCCTGATCCCAAGGACTGAAGAACCAATCATGCTGTTCAAGAGAAAAGAAATTGTTCAAATCACTGTAAGAAGTCAGCATAGCTATTGAAAGGCAATGTTTCTTAGAATAAAAAGCAATGAAAGATTCACAAGGGATATTGGTTGGGGGGTGGGGGGGGGGGAAAGGGGAAAGAGGCGGGGGGGGGGGAAGGGGGGCAAAAAGGTCTTTGTGACACAACTGTTATTTTTAGAGAATGGTAATTATAGGTTAAATAAACATATCCAGAAGTGGTTAAGCAATAAAATAAGGGGGGCAAAAATGTCTTTGTGACACAACTGTTATTTTTAGAGAATTGTAATTATAGGTTAAATAAACATATCCAGAAGTTGTTAAGCAATAAAATTGATGTTTATGTTTTTTTTTTCCTGGGTATGTTAAATGGGTCCAACCAAATGTTCTCAATGGCCTGGAAAAATTAAAAAGACATTGAGATACATTAGGTGATATACATGGGAATACATAACAGATGGAGTAACATGATGGTCATAACTGGATCAACTCAATTGACCATTGACTTAAGACTAGATATAGAAAACTTTGTTTAACTGACTGACCGTTGACTTAAGACTAGATATAGAAAACTTACATGCAGTATTATGCTCTCTACAATACGGCACTGATCAGACATATCCGTCACAAGAGAAACTGTGTCATCTCCTTTCTTACGTACCAATGTAGGACCAAACATTATGGCCAGATTTTTGGCATCCATCTGAAAGAAAACATTTAGTATAAAAATGTGAGACATTAATATAAGCTAAAATAAACAACCGATCATGAAAAAATACACATATTTAATTCATGTTATAAAAACCAAGTCTTGGGCCATTACCATCAGAGATGAAAGTGAAAGCTTATTTAGAGTTGGATTTGCTTCACCATAAAATCTAACATTTCCCTGTCCTTTACATCGCCTGGCAGAAGTGTCTTTTAATTTTTGGGAACACGTGTCGACAGTTCATAACTTTAAACTACCAGAAAAGTTTCATTCCCGGGTTATGTATAACTGTATAAATGTTGTGCAGGCAAAGGCAACTGAACCAGAAGTAAAAGACTTTTCTCTGTGTGAAGCTGGTCTGTCAAATATTCACCTTGTTAATGTTTCCATAGGATGCTACTTTATTCAGATGTTCGGCCATATGCTTCAAGGTCTCGTTGTTGTGTGGAGGAAGAAGGTGAAGCAGGCGTTTGATCTTCAGCTTGCGCTTGTCTTCATCTGGATACCTGTTGGCTTCAATGAACTGATCGTACATGTCTGTAAGGGGAGATAATGATTGGCTTAAATGAACTGAGCGTACATGTCTGTAAGGGGAGATAATGACTGGTTCATTGAACTGATAGTACATGTCTATAAGCGGAGATAATGATTGGCTACACTAAAATGATGGTAAATCTCTGTAAGGGGAGATAACGATTGACTACATTAAAATGATGGTAAATCTCAGTAAGTGGAGATAATGATTGACTTCATTAAACTCATGGTAAATCTCTGTAAGGGGAGATAATGATTGACTTCATTAAACTCATGGTAAATCTCTGTAAGGGGAGATAATGATTGGCTTTGATTGATAATGAACTGATCCTTCATGTCTGTAGGAAGAGTAAAGGAGACAATGAATGAGCTCAGCCATTCAGAAATTCATCAAGGCAAAGATAAAATATATTACACCAAGAATATCCAAGAGGGTGCAACATGTTCAATCTATACATGTGTCTATTCAATACTTTATGAAATTGTGTTCTTAAAAAAGGAAAACAAAAATTTTTTCACTAATATATATGGCACAGAAACAGTAAATCTGAGTTTGGAAAAAAATTACTTAAGAAACAAAAATAGTTAAATTAACATTATATGTTTTACTTCTCTCATCTTTATTTGTTTAAAATATATAACAGTTTGAATATTTTAATAAAAAATTGTTTGGAAATAAACTAAGTGAATAATGGAGGCCATTAACTCAGTGAATAATGGAGGCCATTAACTCAGTGAATAATGGAGGCCATTAACTCAGTGAATAACGGAGGCCATTAACTCAGTGAATAACGGAGGCCATTAACTCAGTGAATAATAGAGGCCATTAACTCAGTGAATAATGGAGGCCATTAACTCAGTGAATAATGGAGGCCATTAAATAATGAACCTGGTGGTATCAGGGGCTCTGGCAATTTTCTGAAGAAAGATTTCAGCAAACTGCTGATGACGTTAATATCCAGGAGTTTTTCATTGTCAATGTTGACGGAATCGATGCCGCGGTTAAACTCTTCTGTTAAGGCGTTGACGGCTGCTGAATTTCCAGGCACTCTGTAGACGCCCACCACCTCCAGGCCACGAGCTTCTACTATCCTTGTACACAGCTCAACAATAAGTGGAACAAACTGAGGAATGTACAAGTGAAAATACAGGTAAGAAATGTGTATGGTTACAGTAATCATGGGAGAAATGTGTATGGTCATATTAATCATGGGAGAAATGTGTATGGTCATATTAATCATGGGAGAAATGTGTATGGTCACATTAATCATGGCAGAAATGTGTATGGTCACATTAATCATGGGAGAAATGTGTATGGTCATATTAATCATGGGAGAAATGTGTATGGTCATATTAATCATGGGAGAAATGTGTATGGTCACATTAATCATGGGAGAAATGTGTATGGTCACATTAATCATGGGAGAAATGTGTATGGTCACATTAATCATGGCAGAAATGTGTATGGTCACATTAATCATGGGAGAAATGTGTATGGTCACATTAATCATGGGAGAAATGTGTATGGTCACATTAATCATGGCAGAAATGTGTATGGTCACAGTAATCATGGGAGAAATGTGTATGGTCACATTAATCATGGCAGAAATGTGTATGGTCATATTAATCATGGGAGAAATGTGTATGGTCACATTAATCATGGCAGAAATGTGTATGGTCACATTAATCATGGGAGAAATGTGTATGGTCACATTAATCATGGGAGAAATGTGTATGGTCACATTAATCATGGCAGAAATGTGTATGGTCACAGTAATCATGGGAGACGTGTGTGTCACATTAATCATAGAAGAAATGTGCATGGTCACAGTAATTCTAGAACAAATTGTGTCAATAGAACAATTTAAGTTAGGCTTTAATAATAATTATACATTATACACAAGTAAACGTTTCGGCACATGCCTTCAACAGTACAAACAAACAAAACACATTTAAGTAAGTATAAATTAAATTTAAATAATATAAATATACATATGCTACCTAAAACAGAAAAAAATAGGAGAGAGCTCTAAAACCAGACAAAAACAAAGTAAAGAGGAGTAGAAAGGAAGTGATTTGAACATAATTATAAAAACCAAACAGGAAAAAGACATGGCAGCTAGGTAAAATTGTGGATTTGGTTCATTCCATATGGAGACAACGTACCAAATCTTGTTATTGATTTGTTCTCCATATAGATTCTATCTGCAGTGTTACTAGTATAGAGTATACCAGCAACTGCGATGTCTGAGATACCATCATGGTTAGGGCTATTGAAATGTTTGGAGACCAGACAGAGAGCGTATTTATTTATGTTACAGAGGTGTTCTCTGAACCGGTCCACAAGATCTTATTAATCTATTTTAAAGCTTTATTGCAGTACAACACTTTTTATAATTAGTTAATTCTAGAACCTATCCTTGAATGAAAGAAATGTGTGTGGTCACACTAATCATGGGACCTAATCTTAAATTGAGAAATGTGAATGGTTCCATTAAATGTGGGAGCTACACTTAAATGAAAGACTATTTCAATATCAGATAAATAAACTTAAGAACCTTACTGAGTTTGATAGAGCACAATTTTGGGAGGGCTTCTTAAAAAAGGGCTGTTCATATTTTAAGTTGATTTAACAGATGTCTCTCTAGTTAGAATTAAATTAAGCAAGGATCTACTGTATGTGCGAGCAATTATTGGGACAGAAAATGACCCAATGGATCAGCGGTGTGAGCCTAGACAGTGGAGCAGGAAGGTTGTACAATGGATCAGCGGTGTGAGCCTAGACAGTGGAGCAGGAAGGTTGTACAATGGATCAGTGGTGTGAGCCTAGACAGTGAAGCAGGAAGGTTGTACAATGGATCAGCGGTGTGAGCCTAGACAGTGGAGCAGGAAGGTTGTACAATGGATCAGCGGTGTGAGCCTAGACAGTGGAGCAGCAAGGTTGTACAATGGATCAGTGGTGTGAGCCTAGACAGTGGAGCAGGAAGGTTGTACAATGGATCAGTAAGGAAGGTGGTACAATGAGTTAGTGGTGTGGGCGTAGACAGTGGAGCAGGAAGGTTGTACAATGGATCAGCGGTGTGAGCCTAGACAGTGGAGCAGGAAGGTTGTACAATGGATCAGCGGTGTGAGCCTAGACAGTGGAGCAGAAAGGTTGTACAATGGATCAGTGGTGTGAGCCTAGACAGTGGAGCAGGAAGGTTGTACAATGGATCAGTGGTGTGAGCCTAGACAGTGGAGCAGGAAGGTTGTACAATGTATCAGTGGTGTGAGCCTAGACAGTGAAGCAGCAAGGTTGTACAATGGATCAGCGGTGTGAGCCTAGACAGTGAAGCAGGAAGGTTGTACTCCATATGTAAATATCCTGATAGAATGTTAAAAACATCCCACACAAAGAGTTCCAATGGTGAGCACAATGTGATCGAGTACCTCATTGTGAGGGGACGGGAAGCAGTCCTCCAGATGGACTCCAAACTGCATCTTGTCTGTGTCCACATCCTGCTCACTGAGGGCACTTAAGCTGGACTCTTCACTATGTTTTTTAAGACTTTTCATCATAGGGAGTCTTCCTTTCCAGCCCTTTTTGAAACTTTCCTCTGAGAGATAAAAAAAATTACTATGTGTGTCATGTCGGTCAGTAATCGTGTCTTAAAATTATTTATTTATTTACTCAATTATACTAAAAAATATTAATATAATATACAATTTTAATTAATAAAAATTTTCGATGATGAATGAATCTGACAAATTTTTATAACAAATGGTAAGGAGATTGTAATTTGAGTGCCATATTGGCAGTTCCCAAGCAAAGGTGGTCGTTAATTTTGTTAGTATGAATTATTTATTATTAGTGCCATGACACTGAATAATGCATTTTTTCTGGGTACATAATTAAATTATAGCTGAGCTCTTGTGAGGCATGCGACTGTGATGCTTGACATTTTGTGACCATGAGACTGTGATGCTTGACATTTTGTGACCATGAGACTGTGATGCTTGACATTTTGTGACCATGAGACTGTGATGCTTGACATTTTGTGACTATTTACCAAAAAATCCCAAACCTTTCTCTTTCTCATTAGTGCCGGATTTCTTTCTTCTCATGCTAGGGGAGGATGACAATTTCGCTTTAAAGGAAAGTGCTGAGAGTTTTCTGCCCTTGTGTCCCATCTGTGGTGACATTTTACTGCTAGAAGCATTAGCTTCAATAGCAGACTGGGCAGTTTTCTCCCTTTCTGATGCAATCATTTCCTCCTGCAAATTCAAAATGTGTGTATGAAATTTTATTCTAACAATTCATGGTCAGTGATAAATTAAAATGTTAATAAATAATTTAAATTAGCAATATTCAAAACAATATTTTGATTATTAAATGAAACTCTTTAAGCGGCAGAGGAATATCAAATTATGAGTATTTAATAAAATAATAGTCAAAATAGAGTTCTAAAGTATGTATGAAAAGAAAACGGTTACCGGAAATTTGATCGAAAGAAATTTCGTCGGCGGTATATTGATCGACGGAAATTTGGTAGAACGGAAATTTGGTTGAATCTTTTTTTCAGTTCACACGTTAAAATTTTTGTCAAATTTCTTTTTGAACGCACTATTCTGTATAATAAAACAAAATAATGCATTCAAAAAGAAATTTGAAGCAAAATTTTAAATTAAAAACTGAAAAAAAGTTTCAACCTAATTTCCGTTAGTCTAATCAAATTACCGTCTATGAAATTTCTTTCGATCAAATTTCCGGATACGAAAGAAAACTAATCATTTGTTTTTAAAGAGACACATTTTGAAAGAAAAATAATATTCTCCTTAAAAATTTGTTACCAGCGTCATTGGTCCCTTTGTTAATTATGCAAAGACTTTTTAAATCTAAGTTAAAGAATTATATTTTGAAGAAATCTGTCAATCTCAAACACTCTTAGTAATAATAATATGCTACAAGGAACTGGCTGCGGATAGCTTCAGGTTAGGGCTTCTCAAATTATGGATTTAGGGTTGGGGAAAGCAACATAATGCTCAACGGATATGTAATGCAGGTCGGTCAGGTCAAGTTTATTGAATTAGGAAATGGACCCAAACAAAATTTAACAAAGTTTAAAAGAGACAATTATGTCAAATATTACAGACAGAAAATGTGATATAAATTTAGTTCTAAAGCTCTTCCATTGTGACAGATGATCCCAATCTCACCATTTTTTCAGCTTTCTCTGGTTCATTGATAGACTTGATGGCTTGTATCCATGACAACATGGTTCCCCGATCTTCCGTTTGGAAGAGATATTCACACTCATTGTACGTCGTCATACGAAACACATGCTTCTTTTTCTTGGCATAGTCTCTGGCAGGCTCAACCATACAAGACTTGATAGGGATGTGTTGGTCCTCAGGGAACGACTGATTTAAACAAATAAATAAATCATTCAATCCATGTGATTTAGATTATTAAAATAAAATGTTATCACATTAGAACTTAATGTTAATTTTGACATGTAAATTTTTTTTATTATCACATTAGAACTTAATGTTAATTTGACATGTAACATTTTTTTTTATCACAATAGAAGTTGATGTTAATTTTGACTTATCAAAGTCAAATAAAATACTTTATGCTCAGGTTACATTCCAATTTGATACAACACACAATACTGGCTTGAACATATCTTCTTACAGAACAGTTCTCTTTGTCTCGAGTGAGATATAATTCTGTCTGGCGCAGGACGGCATAGACTTGCTTCCAAGATCTGTCACTGCATTTCTAGAGTACAAGATTAAATAAACATTAGGAATTATGGGGAAACTCAAAAGAAAGCTCATATCATAACTATGTATTACATGTCTGTTACATAAGAGATTGAAACATAGCTTCTAATGAAGAGGTACTGTCATATCTTGTATAGACAACTATATTTCCTTGCAAACAGATTTACATACAATCAGAGAAGATTGTACACATGTGGAGAATTTGAGTATGTGCAGAAAACCCTGAAAACCTCCCCGTCAACAACTGAGATCTTACAAGCAAGATGACCTTTTCTGACTAACCTTGCCCTCAATGACTGAGATCTTACAAGCAAGATGACCTTTTCTGACTAACCCTGCCCTCAATAACTGAGATCTTACAAGCAAGATGACCTTTTCTGACTAACCCTGCCCTCAATGACTGAGATCTTACAAGCAAGATGACCTTTTCTGACTAACCCTGCCCTCAATGACTGAGATCTTACAAGCAAGATGACCTTTTCTGATTAACCTTGCCCTCAATGACTGAGATCTTACAAGCAAGATGACCTTTTCTGACTAACCCTGCCCTCAATGACCGAGATCTTACAAGCAAGATGACCTTTTCTGACTAACCTTGCCCTCACTAACTGAGATCTTACAAGCAAGATGACCTTTTCTGACTAACCCTGCCCTCAATGACTGAGATCTTACAAGCAAGATGACCTTTTCTGACTAACCTTGCCCTCAATGACTGAGATCTTACAAGCAAGATGACCTTTTCGTATAACCTCAGGCACTTCCTCTTTTTCTGCCGGCTTCTGCTCTACACCTTCAGGAATCTAATGACACAACCAAACAGTAGGAATTAAACAAGTTTATCGTTTTCAGGATGAGAGTTAACATAGCATTGTATGCAGAACAATGAGAACATCAGAGGACCTTGTAATGGAATGCGCTAGGAAAATGTGAGAACATGAAATTTTCATCTATGCGTTTTTCAAATAAATAGAAAACAAAACCAAAACACCAGTCAGGTCGCAAAAGGCAAATTGTTGGCAAAAGGCAAGTTCTTTAAAAATACAAACACTGAAATAAAATTTAAATATATTTTGTTGCTTGATAAGGATGATTGTTAAAAAACAACAAAAAAAACCTGTTTTCTATGTATATTTACATGACTGTGAGTTTGATCTTAATGAGTAAAATAACTTACCATCTCACCAAAGAATTTATTAAGCTTGATGGAGTTTTGGTGGCGCATACTTCCTTGTCTGAGAATGTAAACACACAAGCACATTAGTAAACAAACCAAACACACTTTTTTAAAAGTTCTTAAGTGTAAAATCTTTGTAACCTTTCATCATCCAGGCTCACTGTAATTATATTAATACTAGCTATGGCAACGCAACCAAGTTGAGCATGTAAAATACTGGAAGGGGGGAATTATCAATAAGCTTATGAAATCAATTACCATAGGTCAATAGCAGTCAGAGCAACTTAAAAACCCTTTGTCAGTAAGTGAATGAAATGTGAGAAAACATCATAGAGGGTAAAAAATGTGTATTTTTGTGAGCATATGGTGTGTATGTGATCAAGCGCACGACAGTGGGAAGCAGCCAATGAAAACACAGTACGGCGCTCACTAAGGGTGGGTCGGACAAGAACATGACAAGCTACAACAAAGATGGCCCCGAGGCCAAACTTATCATGAATGTCCACTACTTACTGTTGTGGCCTGTGGTCTGTGACCAGCTGTGGAGGGGTGGAAAAAGCCTTCTCTATGGGGACCACATTTGTACGGTCCCTTGCTGTTGCCATGAGATACGATGTCCGTCTGTGAAGTTTATTTGCTTGGTCCTCAACAGGCTCTGGAATAAAAAAAATTAAAAAAATGTACTTCAATGATAAAATCTACGAACCATTCCCAATGTATTTCAATGATAACAGTCTGTACTACAAACCATTCCCAATGTATTTCAATGATAACAGTCTGTACTACAAACCATTCCCAATGTATTTCAATGATAACAGTCTGTACTACAAACCATTCCCAATGTATTTCAATGATAACAGTCTGTACTACGAACCATTCCCAATCTATTTCAATGATAACAGTCTGTACTACGAACCATTCCCAATGTATTTCAATGATAACAGTCTGTACTGCGAACCATTCCCAATGTATTTCAATGATAACAGTTTGTACTGCAAACCATTCCCAATGTATTTCAATGATAACAGTCTGTACTGCAAACCATTCCCAATGTATTTCAATGATAACAGTCTGTACTACGAACCATTCCCAATGTATTTCAATGATAACAGTCTGTACTACAAACCATTCCCAATGTATTTCAATGATAACAGTCTGTACTACGAACCATTCCCAAAACAAAATCAAGTTATGATGGAGTACAAATTACACGGTGGTTGAAATGTTTATGACAGAATACAAGATGCATGATGGTTGAGATGTTTTCCTGTCTATGAATGTTGATCACAAACACACTGGCCTCACTTTCACCTATGGTAATATCAGGTACCTTTTTTGTGTTTTTTTCCTTTTGCACTAAATAATTTCACAAGTAGATAGTGTCCATGAATATTTTGGCATCACGTCAAGCATTTAAATGAATAAACTCATATGTCACATCAGTATTTAAATTTACTACTGACCAAAATTGGATGGAATGAAATGAAAAGTATTTCAAATAAATAATGAATAATTCTATATCAAACATAGAGCAGTTTTCCCACTACATTTTCATCTTTACACGTACTTCACCAATCATTCATTACCTGGGAGTTTTTTCCTCATGGTCACTGAAAGGCTTTGATTTCTAAGGTTTGTGTAAGACGTTGTATTCTGGGATAGGTGACTCTCATCAGACATTCCTAAACAGCTGTCACTTGATGACATCACTGGGGACAGAACAAAAACATTTGATAAGATCCTTTGACAATCTTATTCACTCAGACTCATATTGGGTAGTTTTTAATCTGTATCCGATAAGACATTAAATGAAATGCACAGAAACTTTCTTTTTTTCTTTCCAATGTAAGACAGGCAAGTTTTAAACAACAAATTTGGATATAAGAACATTACAATTTTAGGATTTAAATATAATTTAAATAATCTTTTGGATAAAAAATAACTGTTAAGCATTGTATCTTGTTTTCAGTTAGTATTTTTTTCAACTGTATTTTAAGTTTGTAGCATATTTGTTATAAATACTATACTAAATACAATTACTCTCATATTTAGAAATGCTAGTTTACATGTAAGTTCACATCAAATATGATACAAGTGCATATTAATGAGGTTTGAACAAAGTTATAACTAGCAAACTTTAACAACTGATAAACTGAGAACTGTTAGTATCGCCTTTCCCTATTTTATTTTATTTTTCTCAATGCAAAGCTGCCTTTCATAAGTAACAAATGCAAAGTGAATCACTTTAAGGCCAGCATTCCCTGTTGACAGCACTCACACAATAATCAAGGATTCATTGCTAACCTGATGGGGCAACACTAGCTACAGGCAGACTCCCACTGGACACAGAGCTCAGGCTGTGTGTGGAGCCCATGGAGGAAAAGGATTGGCTGTCAGAGGGGTATCCTTTGGTGGGGACAAACAAGCGAGGCTGTGGGGAGCTAGGAGCATGAAGTATAGAGGAAGACTGGCTGGGATAAGGCAAGCATTGAGACTCGGCTAAGGATTGCTGGGGTGGCTGGATATAACTGCTGCGACTCTCTACGGCAGATGGAGATTCTGATTTGGGACCTAAAAATTGTGGGAAGCAAAAATATAATAAAATGTAAAAATTCAATTTTTAAATATTATCCTTCACATGCTAAAGCAGGTAACTCAAAATTGTCATAATTTAAAATAAAAAAAAAAATAATAATAATTTCTCATCTTTGGCCTTTGTTCCAAACAAAAGGAGAGAAATGTAAATTGTGATGAAATAATCACTTTGTTCCAAAGCATGAAATTAGTAGTTGAAAACATCATTGAGGTTCAATGAAGCATACAATTGCACATTATTAAAAAATATTAAAGCCACACTGTGTCACTACAATAATGACCCATACATTGGTACACTGGTAAAACTAGAAGCTATAAGCAAACCACGCATTCTTGCAATTAAAATCGTAGTCTATTTACTATTGTCAAGGATCTTGTCTATAAAATACTAGTCTATGTTACTATTGTCAAGGATCTTGTCAATAAAATCCTGGTCGATGTTACTATTGTCAAGGATCTTGTCTATAAAATCCTAGTCTATGTTACTATTGTCAAGGATGTTGTCAATAAAATCCTAGTTTATGTTACTATTGTCAAGGATCTTGTCAATAAAATCCTAGTCGATGTTACTACTGTCAAGATCTTGTCAATAAAATCCTAGTCTATGTTACTATTGTCAAGGATCTTGTCAATAAAATCCTAGTCTATGTTACTATTGTCAAGGATCTTGTCAATAAAATCTTAGTCTATGTTACTACTGTCAAGATCTTGTCAATAAAATCCTAGTCTATGTTACTATTGTCAAGATCTTGTCAATAAAATCCTAGTCGATGTTACTATTGTCAAGGATCTTGTCAATAAAATCTTAGTCGATGTTACTATTGTCAAGATCTTGTCAATAAAATCCTAGTCGATGTTACTATTGTCAAGATCTTGTCAATAAAATCCTAGTCGATGTTACTATTGTCAAGGATCTTGTCAATAAAATCCTAGTCTATGTTACTATTGTCAAGATCTTGTCAATAAAATCCTAGTCGATGTTACTATTGTCAAGGATCTTGTCAATAAAATCTTAGTCGATGTTACTATTGTCAAGATCTTGTCAATAAAATCCTAGTCTATGTTACTACTGTCAAGGATCTTGTGAATAAAATCTTAGTCGACAGTACCAAGGTCAAGGATCTTGTCTATAACATCATTTAATGTTCATTACAACAGCCACAGATTTTATTCTATAAATGGTGTTGTGTGTCTAGACTATTAACTAAAGCTACAATGTTATTTGACCTACAACATTACTGGGACCATTCCAAAGCATTGAAACTTACTTGAATGATAAGATGCATTCACAGCAGAAAGGTATGAACCCTTGCGGGCAGGTTTTGTTAACCTCATGTTGGACACCTCCTGGTCAGCTGCAGCATCAAGAGAATACATGGCGCCGTCCCCACCTCCCTGGCTGCTTCCTTCCACACCATCCAGCATGTCCGAACTGCTGTGATAGCTTTTCAGCCACACCCCCGAGTCGGCCAGGCCCCCGCCGGTGCTGCTTTCACTGACCGTCGGTCCGCCCACACTGCCGCTGCTGACACTCAAGTTGCTGGGAGATGTTGAATGTTCGTAGCTGTGTGGTGACGATGTAAACCCGACCGTATGATTGACTTCGTGGCTGTGCCTGGGTTTGGTGCCGTCTCCGGCATAGAGGTCAAGGTGAGGGGAGGAGCCACCAGATGACATGTAGATCCTGATAGGGATGGCATCTTGATAGTTGCCAGTTCTGTCTGAACCATCTGTCATCTGGCGAGGACTTCCTGATGTGTAACGCTCAGATGAGATTTTTCTTACCTGCATGAATCAAATTGAGATTCTCAACATAAGACGGCCAATAAAAAATTAATTTGACATTTGAAGCATGGTCTGTAAATTAGTGAATTGTGGACGACAAAATGAAAAAAAAAAAAAGTTTTAAGGCAGCTCAAGTACAAAAAAAAAATTATTGCAAAAATAAAAAAGAAATGCAGTTTTATTGATATGGCTATCTTTATACAACAAGAAAGTACCCGTTAAGACCCAAAATGTTCAAACATCCGTTTAAAATAATGCTAGTACACAACATGCACTTTTTTTTGAACTAAAAGATTTGAAGTGAAATTTTTTATAAAAAAAGGCTTTCTAAACAAACAAAACATGTGTAGGGTGATATGGGTCACCACAATGTCTTAAAGCAGTTGTGGCTTCTCTTTGATATTAAAATCAGATATCTTAAACGTGCCCCAGTTCCAGTGATAAGTATTAATATTTACAAAATGTAGCACATCCTCGCAAATATATTCTTCAATAAAATATTTACGATGTGCAATGCATGATGAAAGATTTCTTATGTAAGATGGTTCTTCCATGTAAGGCAATACCAACATACCTTGACAGTGGGCTGTGCTGTCTCTACACTGGACCCCATGTAGTCCGGCTGCGTTGCCACCTCAATGGGGTCATCCATGCCGGGAGGATCTCTCTCTGGTGATTGTTCGAAGCTCGCTTTACGCATCGCGATGCTGGAAAATTTGGGCTGAGTTCGAATCTTTTCAATTTCCGTTTTATACCTGTTGTGACCACCGGTGCCAGGAGGTGGAGTGTTTTCATTTTTGCCAGTCTCAAACTGAAACTTTCGTTGGGATACGATTGGCTTCCCGATAGATTTCTGAATCTCGATGTGGGTTGTGTTGGGTGAGCGTGTGAGGGCAAATGTTGTACCATAACTCTGACGTAACGGTATCAAACTAGAATCGGGGGCCCGAGGGGAAGCTTGCTTATGCTGCTCATATGGAATGCGCACAACAAAAGTTCGAGATCCGGTGGCCGGATCAGACTGGTTGGTGAAACCAGAGCTCCGATTGTACATGCTGACCCCAGCTCCTCTCTTGTCTATATTGTCCGAACTTGTAGTCAGCTTACTCTCTGACAAGACTGGGATGTACTGCCGAGATCTGTTGGTATCCGGTGAACCTTCATTGCTTGTCTGGTTAGAGGCCTTCAAATAATCAGATGAACTATTCCCACCGGTGCTGCCGGTCTGGGTGGGTGATATTGCAGAAACAGTTTGAGACCGTGAAATGATGTATGTGGGACGATTATCCGTTGAATATCTTTCATAAGCAGAATGTCTGGGTGAATAACGATTTCGATGATCACTAGCGGCTTTGTCGGAAGAATATCTGATGAAAAATTCCCGGGACTTGGCCGAAGATGTTAATGCTGAGCTTTCATCAAGCGAAGTTTTCCTGTAAGTAACCACAGGTCTCTGCTGGCCGACCTCGTAGGTCTGAGACTTGGCCAGACCCTGGCTGTTCGGCTCATCATAACCCCTGCTCAGACTCTCAGCACTAATTGTGCGACTGCTGCTGCCACTGCTACTTCCTGTCATTGTGGACGTTGATTTTGGAGGGAAGAATAGTCCAAATGAGTATTTTGATTTACCTTGGATGTTGCACGTCACATTGGATGCCATGTTAGGACCTGGCTCCTAAAAACCAAAGGGAAATTTAGCTCTTAGAAAGACTTCAATAAAATGAACACAGCTTATAAAACATACATTTTCTTTGTAAAGGATCTAACATGTCTAAATACGAATTCTTAAATCAGTCATTATTCACCCACACCTACCCCACTCCTAACTGCCTTTTAAAAAAGTTTAACATTCCCTCAGTGCAACATTGTGATGCAGTGTTACTATATATATAACCTTGGTTCCATTTTCTTGGAATCCATAATAGAGTTGAATGGTGCATTACCTTGATGCTCTCTGGGCTCATGAAGATTTTATTTACTTTGTGACAAGGACATTACATAAGGATTATTCTTCAGTGGGAATGCACCCCTAAAAATTATACACACTGTGCGTCATATAGAACTGAGCGGTAAGTTCCAAGGGGAAGTAATACCTTGGGTTGAGGCCGTGATTGATGGTATGCATAGCCCCTGGTCTGGGACTGGTCCCCTCTCATAGATGAGCTCAGCGATGTGTAGGACAGATCTCCAAGGGAAGAGCCACCACTGGAAGAGTAACAGATTCAAACAATTAATTCCAAATAAGACAATGTTCCAACAATCAATTCCATATAGGTCAATAGATTCAATCACTTCCATTTGGTACAATAGATTCAATCCCTCCCACAAAGTACATTACAGTATTGGTTACCTCAAATTTCACTGTCAATCTTACCATTAAGGTCAATCAATTAAACTAAACTAAGTGATAACAAGAAATATTCTGTCTACCTGATTTCTGTGGACTCAGAAGCTCCCCACTGACTAATGGGGTAGGAATGTCGAACATTATTTTGCCCCGGAGGCAGATTATCTGCAGAATTTGAAACTAAGCTGTGACTTGAATCTCGTAGTTGATACTCATTAGCACTGAAGATAACAGAAAAGAGGATTTATCTTATGGTAATTCAAAGACGCATCTCTGAATAATCTACACTGGCCAATACATATGGTGTTGCTCGGGTTTGCATTGGGAAATAACTTCTAAAGTTTATTGGGAGACACATTAATTTAGGGCCCTGTCAAAAACACTTGGCTCACGACTAATTAAAATTTAAAATTTTCCCCTATAAAAAATAACTAAATTTTTTTATCACTCTTGTTTACATTGCATTTTACGTCAAGCCCATTTCAGTTAAAAACCATGATTTAATGACAATGATTTAAAGTCCATTTCAGTTAAAAACCATGATTTAAAGACCATGACTTAAAAACCACCATTTAAAGACCCCAATTTATAGACCATGATTAAAATACCATGAATTAAAGATCACGACGTTAAGACCATGATGTAAAGACCATAATGACCTCCTATTCTTATTCTGAGCTTTCTAGAAGCTTCAAAAATATCTTTAAATCTGATATCATAAAATATAAGGAAAATCATAGAGACTTACAGAAACATAAAAAGGACAATTATATAATCTTAAATCCCTTTTTATAAAAAAAAAAAAAAGACAAAAAAGTGCCCCTCAAATAAAGTGGCCATTTCAATAGACGTTGATCAAAGTGAACTTCAGAGATATTGAATAAATTCCTAGAATGCTCCCAAAAGATTTTGTTTTGATCTATCTTTAAAACCTAATTAATAGTATTCAAAAAGCGCATATTTTAAATTTGTTGCAAGTAAACTTTGTGGCTAAGGCAAGACAAAATGAATGAAGGGAAATCTCTAACTATTGGTTTACCTATGGCTGTGTTGATGGCTGATGTTAGAATGTCTGCTAGTGCTGTCTGACAGAGTGTTTGAACTGGTGTACATTGAATCTCCCGTTTGGGATTGGTAGGCCTGAAATAAAAACATTAGGATGACAAGGATCAATGCGAAAACACATTCAACACTAAGTTTATCTTTATTTACGGATTGGAGACAAGTCACATCACTTTATAGTACCATTAAACTTATAATGTCACATAAATTTATTAAATGGCATCCTTCCGACTTCGAGAGACGATGGCGTAGCAATGTACACATTTCTCGCAGGAGAATATTGATTCCTGGTTAGATTTGGCCTTCTGTATTGTTCTTTTTGTTGCAAGGGCCTCGTTTTGTGCATCCTCTGCATTTTCAACTCCTTCACACACCGCTGTTCGCCAGCTGGAATGTTGTTCCCTTGTGCTCCTTTTGCAAGCGTCCATAAATCTCAGAGTTGGCCATCCAACAAGCCTTGTCCCTTTTACCAACTCTCCATACAGCAGGTTATTTGGAATACGGCCTTCCTCCATTCTCCTTACATGACCTAACTAGTGAAGGCACCTCTTGCTAAGAGTGGAGAATATGCTAAACATTTTTGCATGTTCCAAGACCTCTGTGTTAGGCACCTTGTCCTGCTCTTGAATGCATAAAATGTGACGAAGATATCTTTATATTAATGTCACATAGCTACATATTACTACACATATTTAATGTCCCATAACTTTATAGTACTATTATATTTAATCTCACATAACTTCATAGTACTATTATATTTAATGTCACATCATATTACTAGCTTATTTAATTTCAAATCACCTGATATTGCTATTATATTTAATGTCACATCATAGTACTATTTTATTGAATGACATATAACTTCATAGTACTATTTTAACTAATGTCACATCACTTCATGGTACTTCATGATACTTCTTGGTACTTCATGGTACTTTTGTATTTTATGGTAGCATATGAAAGAATGTTAAACCCCACAAGAAATTGATGTCATTAGAGAAACAGGCAAAAATACTGGTAATGTACAAGAACAAGTACACATATACAAATATACAAGGCCAACTAAGGGCTGGTCATGTACAAGAACAAGTGCTGTACACATATACAAATATAAAAGGAAGACTAAGGGCTGGTCATGTACAAGAACAAGTACACATATACAAATATACAAGGCAGACTAGGGATGGGTCATGTACAAGAACAAGTACACATATACAATTATAAAAGGCCGACTAAGGGCTAGTCATGTACAAGAACAAGTACATATATACAGTCTTCAAACCCCTAGTGCATGAATTCCTCTTCAACACCAGTAACAGAAACATTGCAAATCCCATCTACATGAATAGGAGCCAAAATGATCAATAAATTGATCGTGGGCCCTTAAGATATAGAAGAAGAAGAAGAAGATATACAAGGCAGACTAAGGATTAATGATTTATTCTACTAGAAAATTCTCACTTACCATCTGGAGGATGTCTTCATCTTTAGGAACAACAAGAAGCTTTAGTGTTTGACTGCTGAAATAACAAACAATGTGAAATGCTTCAGTGAAATAAACACTTATCTTTGGACACACTGTATCAGAAAATGCTTCAGTGAAATAAACACTTATCTTCTGACACACTGTATCAGAAAATGCTTCAGTGAAATAAACACTTATCTTTGGACACACTGTATCAGAAAATGCTTCAGTGAAATAAACACTTATCTTCTGACACACTGTATCAGAAAATGCTTCAGTGAAATAAACACTTATCTTCTGACACACTGTATCAGAAAATGCTTCAGTGAAATAAACACTTATCTTCTGACACACTGTATCAGAAAATGCTTCAGTGAAATAAACACTTATCTTCTGACACACTGTATCAGAAAATGCTTCAGTGAAATAAACACTTATCTTTGGACACACTGTATCAGAAAATGCTTCAGTGAAATAAACACTTATCTTTGGACACACTGTATCAGAAAATGCTTCAGTGAAATAAACACTTATCTTCTGACACACTGTATCAGAAAATGCTTCAGTGAAATAAACACTTATCTTCTAACACACTGATTTAGAAAATGCTTCGGGGAAATAAGACATATCTTTGGACACATTGTATCAAAAATGTAACATTAAATGCATTTATGTCAGATTTATTTTTCAAATATGTAACTTTCGTATGTCATGGGCTTACAACATAATTGTTGACAAAATCTCAAAAATCCATTCTCAGTCAATGAAAAGTTGTTTTGTCCACTACATGTCCCCAACAGGCGGGTCCTACCTCTGATGTATAGCGGCAATGACCTCCTTGTACGACTTCCCGGATATAGAATCCCCATTAACGGCAATGATTCTGTCTCCCGTGTTCAGGCCAGCATACCGGGCAGGACTCCCCTCTTTAACACTCTTAACAAAGATGGTGTCCTGTGGCTCAAGGCTCAGATCACGATGCAACCTAGGACCAGAGTCTGGACAAGGAATCCAATGTCATTTAAATCAGCTCTTGGTGAGGAGCCAGTTAGGAAAAGGCATCTTGACTCATTCACATGATAGACAAGTATGGGATGACAGTTGACATTCACATGATAGACAAGTATGCGATGACAGTTGACATTCACATGATGACAAGTATGGGATGGCACTTGACATTCACATGATAGATAAGCATGGGATGACAGTTGACATTCACATGATAGACAAGCATGGGCTGACAGTTGACATTTACATGATAGACAAGTATGAGATTAAAGTTGACATTCAAGTTGAAGTAAAATACATGATTTAGTAGATATGAGAAGTAAAATGTATTATTTAGTAGATAGTAGATATGAGAAGTACAATGCATAATTTATTAAAACTGCAGAAAATGATTGGGGCCAAAGTAGAGTTGTAGCCAGTAGGGATGAGATGGTGCAGTGTTTTTTTTTTGTTTTTTTTTTGGGGTACAGGTCTCACAACTCTAAAATTATCTATAGAAAATAAGTGATGTTGTGCACCCAAAGGGGAAACTTGAAAACTGCATGTCTTGAACCAATAGCGATGACTAATTCATAAGTGGGGAAGGCTTCATAAAAATAAAAGCATATAACCCTACCAAATACATAACGCAAATATAAATTGGAACAGAGCTAGTTCTTTGAAATTTTTACATTAATCTCCCTTGTCTAAGTTCATTAACAATTTGTTTATTCAGGAAAATAATTCATAAAAATACAAAATCTATCACAAGTTTCTAAAATAACTTGATTACAGTGGCCACATCCTATATACCATGCACTTCTTTCCTGACATCTACACATCTTTGAGATATCTTACCTTTGGACTGATATTCTTGATCATCCTGAAAAAGATGAACAATATCACATTATTGAAGCCAGTCTAAGGATATTTCACTGTGTGCTAACATATCTTCCCCAGGCTTATACCCTCTGCGTGAAGTTTAACATGCGCAGATCTAGATGCAGGCCACAACCAAGGACCTCTTCAGCATGTTGATAAACATCACAGACACACAAACTTAGCCTCAGTCTAGATCAACATAACCCAAGCAGTTCCTGTTACCACCAGAGTCATTGAGTTCTATGTCATACATGCAGCAGTTCCTGTTATCACCGGAGTCAATGAGTTCTATGTCACACATGTAGCACTTCCTGTTATCACCAGAGTCAATGAGTTCTATGTCACACATGTAGCAGTTCCTGTTACCACCAGAGTCAATGAGTTCTATGTCATACATGAAGCACTTCCTGTTACCACCAGAGTCATTGAGTTCTGTGTCACACATGACAACTAAAGTTTCATTGGGGCCATTCAGTTTGAGTGTCGTGCAAAGATGAGTTATCCTGCTATAGGACAAAGATGACTTATCTTGCTATAAGACAACATGACCAATTGTGCTTTAAGACAAAGAAGACTTATCCTGCCATAAAATAAAGAAGACATCTCCTGCTATAAGACAAGATTACTTATCCTGCTTTAAGACCAGGATAACTTACCCTGCTAAAAGACAATCATAAACTTATCCTACTATAGGACAACCGTGACTTATCCAGATAAGACAAAAATGACTATTCCTGCTTTAAGTCAAAGATGACTTATCCTGTTAAAAAACAAAATGACTTATCCTACTTTAAGATGAAGATGACATATCCTTATATAAGACAAAGATGACTTATCCTGCTTTAAGACAAAGATGACTAATCCTGCTATAAGACAACATGACTTATCCTGCTTTAAGACAAAGATGACTCACCCTTATATAAGACAAAGATGACTTATCCTGCTTTAAGACACATATGACTTATTCTGCTATAAGACAACATGACTTATCCTGCTTTAAGACAAAGATGATTTATCCTGCTATAAGACGATCATGACTTATCCTGCTTTAAGACAAAGATGACTTATCCTGCTATAAGACAAATATGATTTACCCTGATATAAGAAAACATGACTTATCCTGCTTTAGATCAAAGATGACTTATCCTTTTTTAGAACAAAGATGACTTATCCTGCTTTGAACAAAGATGACTTATCCTGCTCTAAGACAACATGACTTATCCTGCTTTAAGACAAAGATGATTTATCCTGCATTAAGACAAAGATGACTTATCCTGCTATAAGACAACATGACCTACCCTTATATAAGACAAAGATGACTTATCCTGCTACAACACAACCATGACTTACCCTCATATAAGACAAAGATGACTTACCCTGATATAAGACAACACGACTTACCCTTATATAAGACAAAGATGACTTATCCTGCTATAAGACAACATGACTTACCCTTATATAAGACAAAGATGACTTATCCTGTTATAAGACAACATGACTCACCCTTATATGAGACAAAGATGACTTACCCTGCTATAAGACAACCATGACTCACCTTTATATAAGACAAAGATGACTTACCCTGCTATAAGACAACCATGACTCACCCTTATATAAGACACAGATGACTTACCCTGCTATAAAACAACCATGACTCACCCTTATATAAGACAAAGATGACTTAGCCTGCTATAAGATAACCATGACTCACCCTTAGATAAGACACACGCTATAAGACAACCATGACTCACCCTTATATTAGACACAGATGACTTACCCTGCTATAAGACAACCTTGACTCACCCTTATATAAGACAAAGATGACTTACCCTGCTATAAGACACCCATGACTTACCCTTATATAAGACACAGATGACATATCATGTTATAAGACAAAAATGACTTACCCTGCTATAAGACAAAGATGACTCACCCAGCTATAAGACACATATGACTCAACCTAATATAAGACACAGATGACTTACCCTGCTATCTAGAACAGATTGTGGCGGGTAGACCACAAAATGTCTGAGCGTGAATCCAAAGCCAGCTTCATCTCTGGGAATGACCACAACGTGAGGACCAGTCCAGTCTAGCAAGCGGTTGCTTGTTCCGATGTCCTGTAGCAATACATCAAAGGTAAACGTGTTAACACCACAGCACTAGCCAAACGCTCAATGTTTTGGGACAGGCATCTTAAACAGATCAACAATTACGCGTATGACTGAACCCGCAGCTCATACTTGATGTACGACCAACTGATCAGTGACACGAGATCCTAATTGGAATGCAAGTTTGTTTCATGCAGTGTTTAGTAGGGTCAAGGGAGAAACACCGTGTAACGTTTCCAGCAGGTCCATGACGTGCTTAAAATCAAGTCGATCACAGCCAAAATGACCAATCTCCGTCAATCTTTGGTCATTTAATGTATCCATCTAACCCAAGTCCGTCCCATTAAGTATATGCCAACTACATGCATACCAATCAGGGCAAGGGTGATGAGTTTAATACTGTCTTGCTACTTTGGAGGTATGCACATATAGCATTTATGGAGACGGTGAATCAGAACTTTTTTTGGGATGTATGATGGTGGAGGNACAGCCAAAATGACCAATCTCCGTCAATCTTTGGTCATTTAATGTATCCATCTAACCCAAGTCCGTCCCATTAAGTATATGCCAACTACATGCATACCAATCAGGGCAAGGGTGATGAGTTTAATACTGTCTTGCTACTTTGGAGGTATGCACATATAGCATTTATGGAGACGGTGAATCAGAACTTTTTTTTGGGGGGGGGGGGGGGGGTGGGGGTGGGGTGTGTGAGGCTATTTGAAAGGGGTGGGTCCAACTCCTACAACTTTCTTCAGAGAAATGACTCATTATTGAGCACATGGCGCCGGTTTCAGCACTTTAAAAATAAAATTGAATTGCCAAAAATTATTTTAATATTCATTAACAATATTGGCTAATTGAAGACCCTATAAGTGGGTGTGACCCCTAGATGCGTAAGCCCCCCTAGAAGCGTGCATGTCATCTAGAAGCATGGTACCCCTTGGAAGCGTGAGGTAACCTCGAAACGCGTGGCCACTTAGAAGCGTGAAGTCATCTAGAAGCGCGAGGCCACTTAGAAGCGTGAAGTCATCTAGAAGCGCGAGGCCACCTAGAAGCGTGAAGTCATCTAGAAGCGCGAGGCCACCTAGAAGCGTGAAGTCATCTAGAAGCGCTAGGCCAGCTAAAAGCGTGAAGTCATCTAGAAGCGCTAGGCCAGCTAAAAGCGTGCAGTCATCTAGAAGCGCGAGGCCACCTAGAAGCGTGAAGTCATCTAGAAGCGCGAGGCCACCTAGAAGCGTGAAGTCATCTAGAAGTGTGAAGCCCTGGTCAACTGCCCAGTATGCCCATGCCTTGAGACAGCACTTTACCCAGCACCACCACCCACCTTTTTTTCTTCTCCTACACCACTGGTGTGGTGGTTGGATGTTCTATGCTGAAATTGGTATTTTGAAAACCTTCCAATGAAAAATAAAGAGTAGACGACAAGCTGACAGCGCAAGTCTGAGGATTACCGATAGCAAGACAGATCGGGCCGATATAATGAAGCTATTTCTGTGTGGGTCCCACTTGCGTGTGTTGTACAGGGAATTCAGAGAAAGTTGACTCAAGAATTTCAGAATGGGGGCGACGAGACGCGGGTTTAGTCATGGGATGATCTGAGCTCATCTGTTGACGAGCACAACGTCGAGGGCGCCAACATTAGAAACACATAGCCCAAACGTAACTGACGGGTCGCGAGTACACCACCCGCGACATTGTGTGGGTGAAAGCCGACACTGTGTGGGGGGGAGGCCGGAGTGGGGGGGGGGGTATGCATTGAGCTGCGCGCACCGAGTACAAACCTGCGCACCCCGACATGAGAGGTAACTCCCATCAACAAATTGGACACCTGCATACAATAGGACGGTAAACAACGGGTTATCTCCGCGTTCGTCCTCACCACAGCACGGCGAAGAATGCGGCCAGGATTTTGAGATGGAGAAGATGTGTGTTGATCCTATTGGGATGATTCAATTAGCCGCTGGTATGGATGACTTTTGCCTCGGCAGCTTCAACTCTGGGGACAGTATCAACTCTGGGGGCAGTATCAACTGTTGGGGCCGTATCACCTCCTGGGACAGTATCAACTCTTGGAGCAGCATCAATTCTTGGGGCGGTATCAACTCCTGGGGCGGTATCAGCTCTTGGGGGCGACATCTCCTTTTTGGACAGTGTCAACTCTTGGGGCAGTATCAACTTTGGGGGCCAGCAGTTGTTGGTCTGGGACTTGCGAACGGTCAAAGTATAGATCAAACAAACGGTTTTAGGCGAGGCCTTGAACATTCGATAGACTCTTTGATCTGCGCGGGCTGAATGGTGGCGCACTCCCAGGCGCAACAGACGCTTCTTACATTAATGAGAAAACAGCTGGAACAATGATGAACAGCAACATTTCCCTGGGTAAATTGTTTTCTTAAAATTATTTCATTATCCTTTCCTCTACTTTTTAAAATTAAGATTCAACGTCCGCCAAGAATACATAAAGGTAGCACGAGAGGACAGGGTTATATGACAGTAGAATATTTGTCCGGGAGAAAGAATTACATGATAAGCCTGTAACTTGGACATGGATGAATTGCACAGTTCAACACATTTGATAACGAACCAGACGCGGAAGACCGGACGGACCAAAGAAGCCACAACCCAATCCTACTGATATCGTGTTGTTCTCCAAGAGGTGATATTCTTTTGTTGCATCCAGCCACCAAGTCAAGGTGAGGACGGAAACCTGACTGTATGAGTGGCACGTGCCGCTCATTAAACACAATAAATATAGATATATGAACATAGAGGTCGATGGAATGTTAAGTGCCAAAGTCTTGTTCCTCGTATGAGTCTTACAAAGGTGAAAATGTGTGGGCGTGATAAAGACTACGTAAGCAAATACGATGGTAAGAAAAGACAGTGAA